CGTATGTATATAATATGTATTTATACATATACATATATATATATATATATATGTGTGTGTGTGTGTGTGTGTGGGTATGAATGTATGCATGTATTATGGATATAAATATATATATGTATATATATACGTATATATATATATATATATATAATATATATTTATAAATACAATGTTTAAATATATATATTTATATATATATTAATATATATATATATAGTTTAGATACATACATACATAAATATATTCAGACATACAGTTGTACAGACGTATATGCATATTAGCATGGATACAAAGACATACAAACTTACTGTCTTACTTACATACACACGCACACACACATATATATATATTAAATATATATAATGTAATATAATAAAATATAACATATTACAATAGATGTCTATGAATGTATATATAAATATACATATGTACAAATATACATATACACATGTATATGTATATATGTATATAGGTGCGTATCAATGCATGCATTATATATATATATATATATTATATATGTATTCGTGTATTTAGGTGCGTATCAATGCATGTATTAATTATATATATGTATGTATGTATGTATATACGAACATATGTAGACACACACACATATCTACATATATGTTAAATTGCGTGTGTATGTGTGTATATGTGTAAGTGTATATTACATTAGATGCACATTCCTAATGAATCAGTTAAACATTGAAACCGTTGGTTCGGGCACCCTCGTCTAATTATTTTATTCGTGTTTGATTAATTTGGTCGGCTGGTTCGGGCACCCTCGTCTAATTATTTTATTCGTGTTTGATTAATTTGGTCGGCTTGTTAGATAGAAGTCAAAGAAATTTATCTCTTCCCAGTATATTACATTGTTCCTATTGAACTATTTGTTGGCGAGCTATTCAATGATGCAGGTTGGTTAGTCATCACTAATGGTTCAAATACCTTATCTGTGTAATTTGGTGTATACCTTAGTTCATCTCTCAGAAGCTTCCTCAAGTAGTAATCTCTCATTTTCCTACCCAGTGTAAAGAATACGCCCGTGCATTGGTTTTGTGTGCACGTTACGAGTCTAAATTCTAATCCCCAATCAATACTGACCAATCTCTGCGCCTCTGCAACCCAACTCGGTAGATCCTTGGTACTGTTGTACAACCCCTGTGTCGCTGTTGTGTACTTGTCTACTTTCGTACCGACCACCGTAATAGGCACTGGAACATAATAGCTCTGCATAAACCGACGTCGCCGATCCACTAGTTCTTCTTTGAGCGCAATCACGTGATCAAAACTCTTCTGATCCACTACAGAGAATGTCAAAATGTAGCCGTGAGCCCACCACAGGGGGTCTAAAGTATGTGGGATATCGGTTTTGATTGTGGACGCTTTGGCTCCATGTAATGCCAAACTTTTACCTCTCATTAAATCCGCGGATGATTGACTTTGAGATCTTCCGAAGCGCGGTTTCCTAAGTACACCTCTGGTAGGTACGCCCGAACCGAAGTGCACATCATTCGCACATGTCCATGCCTCTGCTGAACTGTCAAGAATATTCACATGACAGCTGTTGCCGGCCACACTCAAATCATACACCGATAAGTCCGAAACAGTCGGCTCGTAAACTGCATTAAAAAGTCCATGTTGTAATCTATGGACTAGAGTTGACTTCCCAGTTTTCCTGGCTCCCAGCAACGCTATGTTCAAAGCTCCGTTACTCCCCAAACTATCACCCCAATCTATCGTTTGAAATGACTTCTTGTGCCGTTTTAAAAGATGACTGAAATCGATATCTGGAACCACGTGTGCTTCGGCACTGGACATGCTCGATGCAACCCCGCTATCAGATCCTGACGACTCGTACGAAACACACACGTCCGAGTCACGATCTGACTCCAAGGTGATTCTCGCAATTATGTTAGTATCGTTCTGATCATCGGTCCTTGCATTCATGTCAACGTTGTGAGTGCCGGTTGTTCTTTCTAGCAATGCTGCTGTTCGGGACCTCTGAAGGCCACCACTTCGATGAGCACTAGAATTGGCATTAGTCAGGCTATTATCTGATTTAGTCGATAATAGGGGAATCCTGCGCGTTGCATTAGATAGAAAATTGTCAGGTTTAGTTGTGTGAACGGGAACTTCACGGCAACTTGTTGATGGGCCAGAGCTAAATGTCGAACCGAAGTCTATTTGTGTGAATTCGCCATCTAAATTCTGACCAGCTCCCGATTTTAGAGCTCGCTGTAATTTGGTAAGCAAATGGCTAGAGCTCAAATCCATTTCCTGATTGCGAACTGCCGCTTGCAGCCTCAGAGTGCTTGCTGTCGATTTACTTCTCAGAGTATTGCTGGACATACTCATTGATTTCACCGAGTGAGAATTTTCCACTTGCAAACGTTTAGAGTGTTCTCTCAGATTTTTGTTTAAACTCGTGAAAGATGCAGCACTACTAGTGACTCCCTCATACACTGTGCTACATTCACTCGCCATTCGACTGCTCTGTCGACGCAGCATACTAGATACGCACATTTTCCCGTGCCCATCTTCTCGTGGTTCACACTGCGCAATCACATCGTCAACTAAGTCCCTTTCACTCTTATCATTGCCACTATAGTTGTCTGGGGACAAGAAACTCATAGACTCTCCCACCTTTTTAGTTACGTCTGCAGGCGTTTCTGGCGAAGACGCTTGAGAAGTTGCATTGCCCTTCACAATCGTCTTCTCGAAGGTATCTATCAGTTGCTGCAGACATGCTAAACTATCATTGCTGGTCGAGACAAAACCCTTACTTTTAATTTTGTACTTTCTGCTTTCACCTTTCATTGTTGCATACTTACTGTCACAGTGGTGACTTTTGAGATCATTCTCTAAGTCCATTTTTGAACTACCACTTATCCTAGAACCATTTGTCGGAGTCCACGATTTGGATGTGCGACGCGAATAGTCACCGGTGGGCCACTTTCGACACGAAGGATTGGTACCTGTAAATCTACTCTGAATTTTCTGTATCATCTTGGTAATTAATCTTAGTCTCTTCTTCTCTGACGGCTCACAGTGAGGTATTGTTGGCTTGTCGCTTCCACACCGACAGCCTTCATGTTCTGCAGCGCATGACAGCTGTATTTCATTCACACCCTCTTCCTCGAAGCAATTGCGCTCTAAAGTATCGACGGCCACGATTGTACTTTTCGAGTTCGCATCACCCACATACTGGTGGCTCACCTCGGCTACATCGATCATTTCTTCACGATTTTTGGTGCTGACTGTCAGTACCGGTGAGGTAAAGTAAACAATACCTAATTAGCATGCTTCAAAATGAACGGATGCCATAGCAGACGCACCTCTTGTATCTTATATTTATTTTATATTTGCAATCTGCGGATCGTATGATGCGCTCTTCAGCTCACAGTCTGGTACGATGACAAAAATTACCACAGTAGAAAGTCTACAAATTATCAGATTTTGCTTTCAGTCAGTGGTTTTATTTTTTACAAACCAATTTAGCAATCACTAATTGACTACACACACAGCCAATATCAAATGATATATTGTCGCAATAAGACGGTCACACTCCCTGTCAGCGACTCACACAGTCACAGTGTCTCACACAAACAGGGGGCCAGCCAGGGGGCAGGGGCTGGCACAGCCCAGCCCCGCAGGTGAACACATGAAATATTTAAAAGAAAATAAGTCCACGACTCCAAAAGTCCAAATCACGCTGACGCCCGTATCAGGTTTTCAAAAAAAACATGAGCCAAGTTTTCTTTGAAACAAAAAACTAGAGAGAGCAGTGAGCAGAGCCAATTTGCCAGAGTGTGCTTCTGCAGTCTCACAGTCTCACGCACTCTCTAATCTCTATTTCACATGCTGTCATACTGTTATAGATTGTCATATTTACTTACAGTCTCATAAACGTACACGCGCGGCACGGACAGTCGGACACTGTCTAATGATATCACTCGTGAGCCGTGAAATCATCTCTCGTCAGTCACTCGCAACTCTCGAGTCTCATCTGCAGATCAGACTCGCGTCTCACAAATTGTCAAATTCACGCTGCAAATAGTAAATACAATAAATACAGAGATATGTACTGCAGCTAAATATTTACTTTAGTTGTAACTCTGTAGTCTGTGCTCTGTAGCCTGTAGCTCTAATGACAAATAAGTCCAAATGAGTATATTCTATATATATATTTTTTCAAAATAATAAAAAAGTGTTCCATTACAATAACACATCGACCACCAGCTGACCGAGGAGCACATTTTTTCGATAATAAATATGGAGAAAAATTGGCATACTAATATTTTAAAATAATAAATATGCACTGAAAACGTTAAATATAAAATATGAAATATGAGATGAAATTTAGAAAAAATATCGTAAAACGCGTGTTGATTTCAGAAATATGGCAAAATAATAATATTTGGTATTTAAAAATTGAAATAAGCAATAAATATGCCATATTTCTAAAATATGCCATTTTTTTTATAAATATGCCATTTCTTTTATAAATATGCCATATTTCTGAAATATGCCGTATAAAGTACAATATATATATATTTACGAAATAGAATATGCAGTATTTCACGGCTGTATTATAGGGATTGTATAGGCATATAGCCTTTATTAAGCAGTTCTAGCAAATGATTTATATAGGCATATTGGCTGTATTTTGTAGTTAGTGGCTGTAGTTTGTAGCTATATTAAAGGAATTGTACAGGTGTATAGTAGCTGATTTATAGCTGATGTAATAAAATATCGCATATACGTTTTATTTCATATATTATATTTTCGTGAATATGTGTACAGATGTATATGGTACATGTGGCATATTTCTGAAAAATACCATATTTCATGTATATATATATATATATATATATATATATATATATATATATATATATATATATATATATATATATATATATATATATATATATATATATATATGTGTGTGTGTGTGTGTGTGTGTGTGTGTGTGTGTGTGTGTGTGTGTGTTTGTGTATTTATATATATATATATATAATATA